AGCTCATGCTATGGAACGAGGTGCTAAGAAGTCATCAGCATTCCTTCTTCAACATGGTATGTCAGCAAATTTAAACGGTAGTTTTTTACGAACACTGGCGCTAGCTAGCTGAACAAACATTTTTACTTTTTCAGCCCTAGGGCAGGGGACAGCTGAAGATTTCTTATATGACGTTGACCTTGATGGCAGCTCCCTTCTCCATCTGGCCGTGAACAGCGGTGTTCTTGCGGTAAGCATGCCTTAACGTTCTGTGCTACAAACATAGCAATCAACAAGTAACTATTCTTAGAAAATTACAGAGCATGCGCAGTTGCCTTTGGTAATGTTTCCTTTCATTAGATTAAAAAAGTGCCGCGAGATTTTACGCCAATCACACAGGGAAGGGGAATGCAAACAAGCATTAGCTTTCTCGTGGATTTCTTAAATTTAACGCTATCCTGTTTCAACTATATTTCTCCTTTTAGGTTGTCGAGCTCTGCGTTGAATATGGCGTGCGCATTAGACAACCGAGGGTAAGATATAATCATGTGTCAACAAAGCGTGTACGAACTAATACAGTTTTTGTGGTGATAGTCTTATGATTAACATTTAAATTGTTTAATTTAAAGGAAGAATCATTTCTAGCAGCCCTTTAGTATGCTAAGGACGCTCTTTTTTCCTGTCAGTGACATTAAACGATTAGGAACTAATGAGCTCTGCCAACAGAAGTCGGGACGATGACTTGTTACTAGTTCAGGTAACCCTGGTCAAAACATCTGGGACACTTAAGGAAATTAGGCGCGAAGATCCGCGTACACTCTGATTGCTAAATCAACTCGTATTCCACTTCTTATCAACTCTTTGGTCAATTTCTGCTGTCCCTCTCTCCCCCAAGCAATGTTGATTGTACTAAAAAAGACTAGCATGCATAAGATTAACACTGCATCTAGGAGAGGGGTAGAGAAAATGCGTTGCGTTAGAGTTCCTAAGTGTTTTGACCAGGGTTGAAGGTTTATGTGACATATATCCTCTATACTGCAAGGACTGGAATGTTGACATATTTTCGATTCGTACACAGAGACTTGACAAGGTAACAGCATTTCATATGGCTTGTGAACTGGGATCAATGCCAATAGTGGAATATATGGTTAGCAAGGACCCCGCAGTCTGTAGAATAACCCTTGTTGACTACAGAGGAATGACACCACTTCATTTGGCTGCCAGTAAAAACCAAGTCCATGTCGTCGAGTTTCTTCTTGAAAAAGTAAGTAGCTATTTCTTTATTGGTAGATATATTTTTGGTGATGATCATAGACTCCTGCGAAATCTTTTTGTGGAACTCAGAAAACCGTGAGATCTACACATATTTTTGGAATCCAAAAAAGAACGCTATCGTGCGTGATTAGAATGACGAACAGCATGCAGCAACAGTAATTCGTCGATGGTTTTGTCGTTTTCTTGGGTGAACTGTAACTTAGATTGGCCGTGAGAGTAAAACGTATAGAGGCGTAGGGTGGATTTCTACTGTCGCGTAATTTTTACGTGCGTGGGCACGTAAACTTTACGCACGTGAATGAAATAGAGGCAAAGTATAAAATCCCGCGCGTAAACATTAAATTTAGTTGAGCGAGGGTTTCAACTTTTGTGTTTTACGTGTGACCTTCCATACACTGCCTCTATTTTATTTACGGGCGAAAATTCACGTGCGTATCCACGAACAAAATACGCGACAGTGGAAGTCCACCCTAAGGCATGAGGTTTTTTCTACCCATATTCCATCAATAACTGTCCTGTAAGTTCCATGTTATTGCGGCGGTTGTTTTTACTGCGAGTTTATATGGATTTCTTGCGTGAAGTTCCAGCGATACATTTCAAAATCTGTGCCACTAATCGCAGGATCCTTTAAAATATATTTTTACAGAAGTCTTTCCGTTCCTGCAAATAACATCAAAATCTCAATCAAGCTGCTGTAAGGTAGTAGCGAGCTAAATCGTGAGTAGCCTGCAAAGACGATTAGACGAAAACTGTTTGTAGGTACTCGTTGTGAAAGGCTTCAATATAATTTTTAAAGGCTGTTTAGTTGGTTGTAAAATGCTACTTCCTTTTTGTAATTGTACGTGCTGGTTATACATAACATATACATAATTGAACAGTGATAATCAGCATGTCGCGAGGGGTGCCGGACAAAGAAAAAAACTTTAACACACCGACTGGGATCGAGCCTATGACCTCCCGCACACCGGGGGGGTAGGGGATAGGGGGGGAGGGGGTTCGCTCTATCAACTGAGTAACGGTCAGGCTCATGAGGAGCAAGGCCATATACTAGGTTCATATTTGACACGTTTCCTTCATACTGCCGGGATCAGCAATGTTCAGAGCCCGCTACCGCATAAAGTAAAGAAGGATGGTGAATTTACGCTAACCTAACTAATCTGTGTCCTTGTTTTCGTACTCAGGGAGCCGCTGTCGATCCCAAGTCGGACGAAAGACGCACTCCTTTATTCCGTGCTGCTGATAAAGGAGCGGCTGATGTTGTTAAACTTCTTATGGATCGTGGTGCTGACGTCACCATCCGGGACACTGAGCTCCAGTCTGTATTACACGCAGCTGTCGGTCATCCTCGCGCAATGGAGGTCCTTTTACAGGTAAGGCTTCCTCATAGAAAGACCAGCAGCATTCCGTGGGGTCATTCTCGTGCTATCGAGGGTCTCCTTACGGCAGACAAGGAGTAGTCAGAGTCATGACCAACTAACTGCATTCATATTTTGACAAAGTTCACGTCAACATTACTGTCATTTGTCAAGGCTAATTACATAATTAGGCACACGCCCTGTCTCCTTTTCTGCACCGATGAAATAGTGTGAATCCCCGGCACTCCTCTGATCTTTCTTTTATGTGAAGATAACCAAGAGCAACATTCCTCAATGTTATAACTCAGAGTTTAAATTCGTTAGATAACAATTATTCACCGAAGTGGAGGTGGCTAGTCGTGGAAATTTACCGAACTGCGAAGCAGTGAGGTAAATATCCACGACTAGCCACCGACACTGAGGTGAATAATTGTTTTAGTATATACTAAAACAGTGAGATAATTTAGCACAAAAATGACGATTTTCAACTCAAATACTGTTGCCAACGATTACAATTTTGGCGCGTAATGACCGGGCGGCCGCGGCCGTCGCTTTTTCTTGGCGACAATTAAAACTTTTGAAGGCATTTGTTTAGCTCTTGGGGGGAAATTTCTTCAAAAGGAGTTGTGAATTCCTTTTTGTATTTAAAATCATTCTATAAAAAAAGATTATTAAATTTAGTTTTAAGCTTTTTTATGAACAAATCAACTAACTAAAGTAACAAGACTTAAACTTAATTTGCATTTGTAAACAAAAAACTTTTTCACCGGTTTTATCGATAAATTCGTGTCAAAAAGACAAAGCTTTACCTGTTAAAACTTCCAATCCGAACTTCGTCACCTTCTTCGTGTATTTCGGAAACAGCTTGCTTGATTAGTTGTGAAATTTCTTTGTTTGTTAACGGCAGCAAACCGGAAAGGCATTTTGCTCGCAACTTACGCGAGTTCGGCGTCGCTCGCTCGGAGAAACTGGAGGTGAATCAGTGAATAGTGCAGGATATTCACTGATTGAGTAGCCAATCAGAGAGCGCAAAAAACACTATCCACTGTTTTAGTATATACTAAATAGACTTATTCCCTCTCTGAACTTGAACTGAGGTCTTCATTTGAAACCTTGTGATGCTATGAAGAAGTCCAGGTTAGAGCCTGTACTCCTAGATTCGACAACGATAAAAAAAAGCTTCGTATCAATCTCTCCAGAAAAATATCTTTAAAAAAGTACAAAAATTCCTGGCTAGTAGAAAGCCAGTTTTCTTAAAATTATTGCATCTTTTAACAATTTCTAACCGTTGTCTACGTAACTTTCAGAGTCCTGCAGTTATGTCACTCATCACTGAGAAAGATGTTCATGGATTCTCGGCTGTACACTACGCAGCCAAGAAAGGAGACATAAAGGTCTGAATTGAAAAGTCTGCATGCCTAACCGCGACAGGGTTAATACAGCTGTTAGAGCGTTGATCTGCAAGAGCGAAAGGTCCCGGGTTTGTCAACGACTACTGACGTAATTCTCTTTTCAAGGAAAACTGTTTATCTGTTTTCGACCGGCATCCATAGCTTTCTGTTCATGTTTTTTGTCAGTAATTCAGCTCTGCGGCACAGAAAGTTGGTTTTTCGTTATAAAATGACTCTGCGATTCATAACTAAATCCCCACTCTGTGGAGGCCTTGAGATATTGCTTTCTTGCTTAATGCCTTTAAACTGACATCGTGCGAGCTTAATTGATACATTTCCCTCAGTTTAGCAAACAACAAATAAATACTCGGATTCTAACGTTTTTTTTGCGACTTTGGATCAACAGAATCTGGAACTTTTAGCGGCCAAGAACAAAACAGCAGCAAGTGTGACGTCAGATTCACTCGACACGCCTATCCACGTGGCCGCTAAGTAATCACCTTTTTTGATAACAGTTTGTATTCCCGCATCTTACTGGAAAAGATTTCTTTCACTCCATATGTAAAATCAGAATTGGGCATGGACAGGTCAAATTGCACAATCACTTCTAACGTAAAATTAAGAACGGATGCATCCTACAAACGCACTTACTTCTTTCTTTAGACTTTCTAAAATGTCCTTTATTTTTTTCGTGATTGGCTGTGCCATTTTGAAAAAGACCTTTCATACCTTTTTGGCGCGAAATTCACCGGTCGAAAATTCCACGCGGTGACGTTATGACATTTGACAAATTGGAGAGTGAGTTACATTTGACACCAGTCCTGAAACAGCATATGTCAATCATTTTTTCCCGCTTGAATTTCTAATATGATTCAAATCCATTCAGGCGATTTAAGTCGACCTCAAGACTTAATTCATCCCTCGCTCGGTCCCTGCGCGACCTCATAAAAGCTCGCTTCTCTCGCTTTTAAGAATTTATAAGAGGTCGACACGTTACAAGTGTACCTTTTCTTTAGATATGGCTGGACCGAAGCCGTGGAAAAGTTGATGGATCGACAGAACGCGCGGATATTAAATCTACAAAACAGTCATGGACGAACACCTCTACACTACGCATGCTCGGAAGGAAACGATATTACAACTGCTGCACTTCTGAAGCTAGGGGCGACTGTGGAAAGGTATACATGGACTGACATTTTATGCATTATCACATGTCAGTATATTGAATAAGTGAGAGAAACGATAGTTATCAAGCACCATAAGACAAAACTGCTCATTCGTCATCAAACCCAAACACTTTTATGACCAATATTCAATCAAAAAATGAAAGAACTAACTAGAAGAACTACTTATGAGCGTAACAATTTTGGACTATAACGAATCTCAATATTTGAGCCACGATGCGCAAACACGTTGTGGTAAATGGAAAAACCACAGAAAGACCTGCACTGTTGGTTAACTTAGAAAAGTTTCAGTTTAAGCTTCATCCACAAAGTAATCGTAGGGGTCAATCTTTGAGTATTTTGTTCAGAAAAATGACACATGTGACTTGGTGGTTGATAACACCCTCAAGATCCAAGCATTTTTTTTGTTTCAGAGATCAAAACGATCGCTCTCCCCTTCACTTGGCCGCGCTCAAAGGTTCTGCACAATGTTGTGAGGCAATCCTTCAGAAATTTGATGACTGTGTCAACTGGACAGACAAGAATAAGGTTTTTTTCTTTTTGCATTTTACTTGAAAGTGGTAATAAATTATTAGAATAAGATTAACTTTGTTTTATGCCAAATGAATGCTGGAGAAAGATTCAACAGAGGGAAATTGTCATTACCAATAAATACGATATTATGACATGTATTCAGGAGAATAACTTATTAAAAAAAATCAGGGAAATTGAGCATTCAAACCGGAAAGGCTATGTCTACTGACAAATTCAGGGAAACAGCTTTCTCGCCTTGGCTTTTGAATATGCAGAAAGTTACTTCTCTGCCCCTTTTTTTGGCGTACCTTCTCAGTCAGTTATCCCTTTTAAAAGTTTCTTTACTATAAAACAAGCTGCAACACGATTATTTCAAGCACTCCGCTCTCTGGATAGACCCAAGTAGAATGTTTGGAAAATATCCCATTTTTCCGGTATTGGAACAGCGTGCAGGATAATCGAACGGAGATTCCGGATTATCGTTCGTACTCTTATTCCAGAGTAAGGTCAATGGAACGCACTATAAATAAATCACACCCACATTATTAGTATTAAATATTTATTTGTCATTCACAGAACACAGCTTTACATCTAGCAGCCATGTATGGTCACGCCCCTGTCGTGACGTTACTGCTTTCGAATGTAAAATCTGAGATCACGTTGAACAACACCAATGATAACATCCTGGATGCAGCTGTTAAAGAAAAGAGAAGTGCTGTTGTCATGGCGATTGCTGAACACGACAGGTACTACAATGATTACTAGCCTTGTGGTGCATGTCTACAAAGTACTTTTGCCCAAGGGTTGAAATAAATTCGTCAGTGCAGAAAGCTTTGGGCACTGACTGAATCAGCTTTTGAACTCAGGGAAACTGTAGACTGAGAAATCTTCAGGACTGTATATAAATCATGAGCAGCGTTGTTTAACGGACTTTCCTTTATTAACTTTGAAAAATAAATTGAGTTCTTCATACTGTTCTTTCACCAATAGATGGAAAGAAATTTTGACTAACTGCACTGCAGGCGTTGTTACAATGCTACAGAAACTGGTAGAAATCATGCCTGACACTGTTGTGGTAGGTACTTTGTGACCCTTAGCATTTGGCCAATAGGAAAAGAAAGAAAGCACAGAGAGAGAGAGAGAAAAAAAGTAATGCTAAAATACAGTTTGATTCGCGTTAAGCTTGGTCCAAACAGGTGTAACTTGTGTGGTGGTTACAACTTCATATTATCCAATTATTGTTTCCTGGTGCAATATATCAGATCCCGTTTGAACATTATGTTGGGTGGTGTCGAATGGTGAATCACGTTTGAATGAGTTCGAACTTTTCACCCAACATCAGCCGACATTTACTTTGTTATTTCGTTGATGGATTATATTACAACATGTTTGCAACGCTTAAAGCTTGGCAACAACATTGGAAATGCTTGCGCAATTATTCTTCACGCGTCATTTATACTTTTACACTTTGCACACATAGTTTTCTCCACCTAAAAATTTCTGTGCAACAAATTTTAGTGAGTATTCGGTTCGCTTAAACACCTCGCCCGACTCTATTCAACACTATCAAGCTTAACTGGTCCCAATTTCCACAGGAAAACCTTATAAAATACTCTTTCTTAATTAATTGCCCTTGTGTGTTTCATTGTTTTTCATGTTTTTAAAATCACCAATCTTTCTTCCAGCGATTCTTGGATCAGCTTGTTACTGAGTCTGGAGATCCGGCAAGTCAGAATTATAAGGTACTATGGTTTACATGAGCAAATCAGAGGCTGTGAAGTTACAATCGTGCTCTTGCAATGCACTTTACAAGGTGTTTGAATAACACTCTGAAGTTGCGTTTGACAATCGTGTTTTATTACTCAAATTATTTTAGTTTCATAACCCTTATTAACTTGTTTGGAACCATTTAGTCATTCCTCTTTTTTATACTGCGCAACCTTACTATGTATCCTTGCTTTGCAAAGTGAAATCTTTCCATGATGGCTGCAGCCGTCAAAGAAGAGGTAGAATACGCTGTTTTCTAGGGTTTAAAAACTAGTTATTAAAGAAGGCGATAAAAGAGGACAGCATGGTAGTAGGCCCCAATACTTAGCAGGTACTGCACCCCTCTTTTAATTTCATCCTTTCTGTTATTATCCTGTACCTTTGAATGAAAAAAGGACAAGCAAGAAAATATAACATCATTAACATCATTATAATTTCCGATTTTCTTAGGTTACGTATGACTTGGGTCTAATTCAAGGAATATTTGAAGAAACGGAGGGCAGAGGACGAAAACGAACCATGGATTCTGGAGAAAAGGTATATCAAGGGTGTGTTATGTCTACCAAGCATTGATATCTCTGGAATCATTTTCTTAAGAAGGGAGGAAAGAAATAAATGCAAAATCCCTGCTTTCTTGTCATGGAAGCAAAAACAAAGACCACCTGAAAGAAATTTGATTCCATCATAGATAAAGAGAACACCAGGCTTACTACATATAAAATTTATTTTTCAGACGCCTTCCAAAGAAGAAGTTAATGTAATCAGCAATAAAAAGAAAAGCTCTGAGGATAAACAGCATCTGAGCTCTATGGCTTTAATAGAGGTAACAAGGAGTTAGAACGTGATGCATCAAGGTCGCCTCCATTATAATTATATTGACGATAATTGTAATCGAAAATTTACTACATTGTCATCATTGTATCATTATAATCGTACTCAAAATTATAGTCGGTTCAAGTTAACTTCAACAATACCATCACAATCATGATCGTACGTAGTCATCATCAACATCGACATCAACATCATCATCATCATCATCATCAATATCATCAACATCAACATCATCAACATCAACATCAACATCAACATCATCAAAATCAACATCAACATCAACATCATCAACATCAACATCGACATCAACGTCATCATCATCATCATCAATATCATCAACATCAACATCATCAACATCAACATCAACATCAACATCATCAAAATCAACATCAACATCAACATCATCATCATCAACATCGACATCAACATCGTCATCATCATCATCATCAATATCATCAACATCAACATCATCAACATCAACATCAACATCAACATCATCAAAATCAACATCAACATCAACATCATCATCATCAACATCGACATCAACATCATCATCATCATCATCATCAATATCATCAACATCAACATCATCAACATCAACATCAACATCAACATCATCAAAATCAACATCAACATCAACATCATCAACATCAACATCATCAATATCATCAACATCAACATATCAACATCAACATCATCAACATCAACATCAACATCAACATCATCATCATCAACATCAACATCAACATCAACATCAACATCATCATCATCAACATCACCAACGTCAACTTCAACATCAACTGCATTAACATCAATATCATCATCATCAACATCATCAGCATCAACAACATCAACATTAACAACATCAACATCAACATCATCATCGTCTTCATCATCATCATCAACATCAACATTATTATCATCAACATCAACAACATCAACATCAACATCAACATAATCAACATCAACACCATTATCATTAACATTAACATCATTGTCATTAACATCATTGTCATTAACATCAACATCAACATCAACATCATCATCATCATCATTATCATCACCATCAGCATTATTATCATCAGCATCAACATCACCATCAACATTTCCATAAGCTTTTCCAGGTGATCTTTAGTTACGTAAACTAAATAATCACATTATCATTATCATCGCTTTTATCATCCCAGTGTCATTATGCTTTTCATGAAATTAAAAGCTGTATACCTGTAAGCTGTTAACATTTTTGTTCTCTAAATTCATCCTAGACCATGGCCATTCATCACCGAGAACGCTGCCTTACTCATCCGATTAGCTTTCATTTGTTAAACACCAAATGGTAAGTCCGTTCATAATGCTTTTCGTGATCTTCAACCACTTCAAAACATTTTTACCGCAATAGAATATATTACAGGAAGTTTTGTTGACAAATAAAATCATTCTCACTTCTGACACACTTATGGACATCTTCTAGAGAAACATTTGGTATTTATAATTGAATGAGCCGTAGTCATTTTCAATAATTCTTCTTTATACCAAAAAAAGCTAAAATGGTATCTTTAATGGTTACATGTTTTCAAGACTGTTGTTGGTAGTTATGTTTCTTTAACCTTCGTTTTTAAAAAGAAATGGGATTCTCAGTTGCCCAGTTTATGGTTTCACTCCGGTCAAGTCACCCACAATGTTTTTAGGTAGCAATAATTAATTTTAAAAAAATAACAATCTTAATGACAAACCTTGGAGTAATTTTTATACTTCGTGTATTTTTCAGGAAAAAGTTTGGCTGGGTTACATTTGCAACCAACCTTTTCTTCTATTTTTTGTTCATTACACCGCTGACCACATTAGCGGTATATTCACGCATCAATCAGGATGAGCTATGTGGCTTCAACCCTTCTGATCCGAATGAGGTTAGGCTACTAAATAGGGAGCTTAAAGGAGCTGTGGCACGGCAGTCTAGTTCATTTTGTTTAATTTTGCCGATTAATCGCCCTCAATCGCTATGGAACTTAAAGTAAGCAAAGAAATTATATGTAAATGACAAAATCAGAGATCCGAGACAAACAAATGTGTCTCCTGAGCATTATTTTTGAAGTTGCAAGCAGCAGGGATCAACTTTGAAAAACTGTTGGGCTAAATAGTTTTCAAAACCCTAATCTCAATCCGTTTCAGTCTTCTTCATTTTTGCCCATCCGTGGCATCTGTTGTTCCTGTTATGTCATTTTAACCTTCCTTTAATTAAGCGGTTACGTTAAAGTTTCTCTTAAGTGCAAATCGCCGTTATAAGGGTGAAGAAACTTAGCAACACAAATGTGAGAGCGTCAATGCAAGGCGAGAGTTAGCTATATTTATTTTTATCTTTCTTGTTATATTACCCTTCGATATTTATTAGGTTACGAGTTCTTAAATCCCCATCAAAGCGTTTGCACTTTCATAAATAATCCAATATAACCAAGTATCGCTTTATTCTTGTTTTTTTTTAGGACAAAGACAACTACAATTGTACTTTCAGCAGCGTGGTAAGAGACGACGTTCATGAAATAGGCCATTTACGAGTTCGTGAAATTCTCACTTTCAAAACGAGGCTAAGTGCAAACCTTTCTTGTGACAATGAGTTTTATTTGCGTGAGAATTTTTAAAATGGCTCGCTCTTAGCCTCGCTTTGAAACAGAGGCTCAGGCTAACTCGGAAATGACCTATTCGTTCTTCTATTTTCGCTTATAAATTAGACCGCGAGCGGTCGTCCTTCTTCTCTCAGAGCCACGCGCGGCGAGCGACAGGGTAAAATGCCCGGCCACGCCTTTCGCCCCTCGCGCGTGCCCTCGTTTCCCGTGCTTTCATTCTACCGGGTCTCAAAAGATAAATAAGAGACTGCTCGCAGTCAGGAGCCTATAACCCTCCTGTCGCAATCTAATTATAAATATGCAGAGTTAAATTTACATTAATCCGTCCACTTTAAAATCTTCCTTCGTTTACTTAAATAGGTGGTCCAGGTGTTGAATTACTTCGTTTTGGTCATGGCGGCAGGTCATCTCTTGAAGGAGATTTTATCCCTTTTTTCTCAGGTGAGGAGAAACAGCCCACTGACATAGCTTACTACAATCTTCAAGGCAATAACTACAACATGGCTGAAATTTTGAGTTTCTGTCGTTATTCACCAAAAGCGAGTGGAACTGGTGCTGAAATGAGCCCGCAATTGTTTCTGGGATAGTTACTGGGGACGCGCCGGTCAGCTATTGGTCAATTTTTTCCCCTGTCCCTAGCAACAGTCTTTGCGAAATTTAACTCGGTCCAGTTTCTTTCTCACTTCTAAAGTGTCATATTGTTATTGTGTCCGGACGACATTACATGACTAGCATCCATTCATTAAATTTGCACTGTGTTAAGAGTCTTAACACAATGCAGATGTTAAGCACATTGTCAGTTGGCAGCAGAGTTGGCCATCCTTAGGTTGGGTGAACGACTGGGTCGCTGTTGTGTCCAACTGCATTGTGGCACTGTTTCTGAGGCCCAATTTGAATCCCGTTTCCCGCGCAACTACAAATTAAAATAGCCATTGAAAGAAGCGCTGACGTCCCCAAAATAGTCCCATAGTTCAGTTCGACACAACACCGACCTTCACCCTCATCTCCGTCAAATTGGTCCATTTTCTTACTAACAACATTCAAGGACTCGGGAGGATTGATATTTGAACCAGCAATTAGAAGTGTAAACCAGTAATTTTGGTGCCGCTGGCCCAAGGTGAATACCGAGCGTTTAAAGAAATTATATTTATAAGTAGATAAATCAAGATTTTTATGATTTGATTTACAAAGCTCTGTGTTTAAAGATACTTAATACTTAGCTTTTAATCTTTCTTTGTGTTTTGAATTAAATCGTTTTATCTTTTCACTGCATTACATTCAGCTGATCATTTTTATCTAGCCTGTAACATTATATATGTCTTTTTATCTAATGAGCAATAAAATAATTATTTACTTTTTTGTTGAGTAAGTGTAGTGATTTTTCAGTTGCCTTTACCCTGAATCTTTGTCATTTCTCCTAATTCGCAGCGAATGACATATATTGAGGATGTGAGTAACTATCTGGAGTGGGTTTGTTATATAACGGCTATTCTGTATTGTATACCGCCTTGTGACTGTCGAGCTGGTTTTAAGCAAGAAGTCGGCGCGATCGCTTTGTTCTTCGGGTGGATGAATCTTATTTTGTACTTCAGAAGGTAAGTTTCCATATTTGCCCTTAAAAAAAATTCTCAACGCGAAGACTCTGTTTCAAAATTCTATTGTTCTCCTTCATTACTTAGCATTAGGTTCGGTACTTGTGAACAACGCTTGACCCAAGCCTAACTTTTCGAAATATTTACACAGCTAAGAAAGTTCAGGTCTCTGGTTGTGTCTGATTTCTTGCGCCAAAAACTAAACCAAATAAACCTAGACCTTTTACGACCTTTTAAGGGTGCACCTCTTTAATCTTAGCTATGCCTCATATTCTCAACTCTTTCGGCACGTTTTACGAGCGTATCATGCCTTAAAAACATGACAAAGTCTTCCCTCTGTACGCTCAATATAAACTTCGCAAGAAATATTTATCTTTAGCTTCATTCATTCTTCTATTTTTGCAGGCTAAAACAGATGTTGTTGCTCTTTTTTAGGTTGTCTTCTTATGGGCAGTACGTTATCATGTTATCCACCATGTTTGTGACTTTGGTGAAGGTTTGTAGGTGGCATCTGTTTCAAGTTTGTTTATGACCATTTTAAAACATGAGATAATAGGGCCATTTATACGAGGAAAAATAAGACGCGTCTTACATAAGACGCGTCTTAAATAAGACGCGAACTGTACCATTTATACGAGCATGTCTTATCTAATAAGACGCGTCTTAGCTAAGCGGCGTCTTATTTTAGACGAAATGTGCCGTTTATACGGAAAGTTCGCGTCTTATTTAAGACGCGTCTTATTTTTCCCCGTTTAAATGGCCCTAATGGTACAGCGAACACGAGAAGATGTATCCGGGAAGTGACAAGCGCGAGACATTTATGACGAAGAAAGCCAAGCATAAATTTCCACTACCCGCATGTGAATAGCTCCCTCCGTTATATTTAATGTGAGGAGCCTGAGGATCGACGATAGGCCAAGAGTCACTCCCCATTCACATTCCATTCTCCTACCTTTTCTCTAAAACAAGACAGTGAAGCCTACGGAGGAGGTCGCTTTCATGTGAAGACACTTTACATAACGCTCTAGGAATAATGTAGATATGAATCTGATCATGATATGAGTAACAACTAACGGATGCAATTTTCTTTTACACAGGTTTTGCTTCTTTGGATGTTGTTCATCATGGCTTTTGGAACAACGTTTTTGATGCTGATGGATGATGTAAGTGCTTGTTCCAATGGGGGAAAAAATAATTATAACCAAAACGTAACAATGGTCCTAATAAGTTTAAACGCTCCTTCAAGCACACTCACATTGCATTGTTTGAAAAGTCTGTGAAAAGTCATTAGCGTTATTATGAGATTTAATTAAGCCAGCTCCATTGCAAGACCCAAATCTACGGTGTGTGCTGTTTGTATCTTTTTTTCTTCAGCGCAACAGAATGCGGCGCGTCTTCCTTGCCCCCTGAGCCTACGTGTAGCCGTACCCTCCCCCTGACATAGGAAAAACGGAGAGATGGGGAAGGATGGGGGCGGGTGCGGCTACACGCAGGCTACCTCACCCCAATCTTCTCGACGGCTTTTCCGGCTTGCGCTAAAATGTTCCCGGAATTCGCACAAGTGAGCCTGCTGGCAGGCTTCTTTATCTTTATTTTTCTTATCGCAGGAACCGTTCGATCAATTTGGCACATCCTTGATGACCATGTTTGTGATGACCCTTGGAGAACTTAATTACAGTGACAACTTTCTTGACAAAGAACTCAGTTTTTCTACTCTAGCCAACATTTTATTCATCGTACTTGTTCTCGGAATGCCAATTATCATGATGAACATGCTGGTAAGTTCGTACGACATTAGTTAGTTTACGCAACAGGACCAAGAAGAAGAGGCTTGTGTGTGACAAAGGTTACATGGCTATTACTTGCGTGTTTTGTCGGGATCTTCCCTTGACATTAATGTTTTCTGGTCTTTTACGAAAAGATCTGTTCAAAGGAAGGTGAAGTTTGCGGCACGTTTTTCCAACAAAATCATCGTCACGCTTGCCACACAAGGTTTGCCGTCTCCTTTCCTCTCCCGTCCTGTTGCGTAAGTTCACTATTATGAATAACTTTGGTTTGATTTCTGTACTAGCCTGAGTCAGTCATGACTTCCTTAGGGTGCCTTCCTTCTTTTTTTTTTTTGGGGGGGGGGGAGGCGGGGAAGATTGCATGTGACGGAGGGGTAAGGGCGAACAGCGAGGGGGGTTTCTCTCTCCCTTTGCTCTATCCCCTTTTTGCTTCTCTCTTCCCTCTTTACCCCAGAAATTTCTATAAGACGACATCACATCATTATGTGACTGCAGTGCGACTTTGTCTGTAGCGCAACTGAAGCACGATACAATACAAGTGTTTAACGAGTATCTAAAGATTGCTTAACAACGTATCACGCGTGGCCACGCGTTACCATGGTAGAATGGCTACTGCAGGGAACCGTACAAATATTTTGGGGAATCATTTCAACTGGGTGCGCAAATATTATGCGCATACAGTGTGTGAAGAGTGAAGAGTGATTTCGTAAGCGTTAATAGTGATTGCCTCATCGTCACGGGCAATTGTGTGATCGTTACCAAAGCAAAGGCATTAGAACTGTGTGCACATATGAGTATAACATGCATGGATATGGAGAAGAGGTACAATTGCAGTACGAAGATGCGTGGTTCTACTACTATAATTTTTCCGACACTCTCTTCAACTACTGCAAAATTTGATTTCTCCTTTGATATTTTAGGTTGGTTTAGCCGTTGGAGATATTGACAAGATTCAACAGAATGCTTTGATGGATCGTTACGTCCTACAGGTAGCGTTTTGTGAATTTTGCAACAGGAAGTACCACGGCAGTAGCTATCATTTCAATGGTTACAAGGCAGGAACTTTTGCAAAAAATTTAAAACTGGCTTAGAGCCAACTTGTACGGGATAGTAAAAGAACCACAGGAACGTACTGCACAGTAGCTTTTATTTGTATGGTTACACTTCAGTATTTCACACACAAATTCAAAGTTAGGAACCACCTTGTACAGCATAATAAACTTTAAAACAGGGTGAAATACTGCTCATTATCATGATTCCATCACAGGTTCGACTGCTTGTGGAGATAGAGAATTCCCTCCCAAAGTTTATTTTGAAGAGAGTACAAGTATACTCGCACACCGAGTTTCCGAACCAACGCAAGACACTCAAACAAGTGGTATGTGAAAGGGACAGTATTTACAGGTCACATGCTATGGCCTACATACTTAAAATAATAGGGGACTGGGAACAAGTCAGTTATGTCGATGTTACAGTGATATGGGCATCCCTGCGTTTTAGGCATCCCCATTCCCAAAACCCTAGTGATATGGGCATCCCCTTTAACCCTAACTTTAACCCTAACCCAGATCGCTAAGGTAATATGAAAAGGGAATGCCCATATCGCTGTAACTTCGCTACTCCGACGCTATAAACCTCAGGGCATTCTCGTCCCCAGAGCCTCATGGGGACCTGAGCAGGAGAACGGGACTGGGTACACGTTTTTGGCCCAAACATTTCTGAGATCGATTGGGTGGAGAAAACAAGCAATGGTTAACGGTTGTCTTTAGCTACCTTCCTCCAGTCATAACTTACTCCTTTCCACTGACCCATTCGAAGAATCCTGCAAGCGCCTCACTGTTCCATTTTTCATTATTTTACCTTCATCCTTTCCCATGACAACCCGCCCGCCTCAATTTAACCTAAATCTCCTGTCAACCCTAAAACACATAAAAAGTGACACAGTACGAGTCTGATTGGTCTGTATGAAAGTGGTTGCTGAGTTATCTCAAAATCGTTTTCCAAGGGATATACAAATTTAAAACACATACGAAAAAGGACGATTAAGTAAATTGGACCATTCAGTAAATTACAACTTAACCTTCGGCGCGACAGTTTGCTTTTACACCTGTCAAACTTCAAATGTTTGGCGGCAAAACACGTTCATCTTTGGCACCCTATTACAACATGTTTTCTTGTCTCGTGTTCACGTTTAGATGCAACCGACTAATGCCTCCCCCATCAAAATACAAGACCGTACTTCTTTAGAATTCTAGCTTTTGCAACATCACTTTTTATCTGCTTTTTATCCATTTCTTAACTTTATTTATTCTCTCGCTTAAGTTGGTAGATGGACTCATTGGGTTCAATAAACCTGAAGTCGCAAGAGAAGAGGGGCAAAAAGGTGAAATATCACCGCAAATGTTAAAGGTTGTGGATCGAATTGAGAAGCAAGACGCAAAGTGAGTACTGCGGCGGCTTTTCAGTTAAAGAATAAGAGACAGTGAAAAATATGGCTTCTGAAACAGAACAGTATGCTTCAACTTTATTAGTACCAATTACAGTGCAAGCTCTCAATTTACGTTAGCATGAATGCAATTGCTTTAGCCGGATTTTTGTGATTAAGGGCCTGTTTACATGGAGGTGGGGAACCTCAGGTAGGTGAGGTAACCTGCTTAGGTGGGGTAACCCGCCTGTCCATATAATCTCTCATTTTAATTTGATCACGTTTACTTGATTGGTGGGGTGGCCCGCCACATGTTACCTCGCCTATCTGGGGGCCCCCACTTCCACGTAAAGAGGACCTAAAATTGTAAAATTTCGTCCTCAAAAATGTCGAAATTTCAGTTTCAAGATCTTAACGAAGAAAATGGCGTGAAAATAACGAGTAATCTGTGCGCAAAAGCTTTGCATTTCATCACATGGCAAGGTTAGCAGTAAATCTGAACGTAGAGTGCTAATTCATCACTAACAAGTTTTAAGGGGGGGGGGGGGGGGGACCACGGGCTGTTTCTTTTTGGAAATGGGAAAAATTTTTATGGCAAAAAACCCCCCCCCAAACCTTTTGATAAAGATCTGGGGGGCCCGGCTTTCCACATGTTATATTTTTTTGGGGTATAATTATAATGATCTTTTTACATATAATTAGACAAAGCCACCTAGAC